CCAAAGTGTGGAACTTCCGTGTCCTTTTCTCCCAAGTGAGAGTAATCACACAAACACTGTGGACATGTGCTTATGATGTTTGCATCACTGGTGATGGACTGCTCTCCTAATCTGAACACTGAGTCTCTATTTTATCTGGAGCAACAAAGATTTTTCTTGGACTCTTTCTGGGATTCTCTTCCACACTACTAGCTGCTGGAGACCATTGCATTTCTGTCACAATGGTTGCTCCCTTCTCCAGGGCTGGCAAACCAATCATTGCTAGTTGTTCTAAAAATGTGCTGCTGCTTGTCCATCAGGTCCATGTCGCCACAGACAAACAAAAACAAAAATTTAAAACTCCAGTATACTGCAATGTACGGAGAGATTTAAAGGGTCAATCACCATTTAGAATGTTCATTTGCATGTAAGAAGTCGTGCTCTTCAGCTTCAAGATGCCGATCGAATCTTTTTTCAGGGCTTTTAGCTGAAAAAAAAAAATTAACTTTGTTGCAGCCTCAGTTTTAAAGGATTTACATACTAGAACTCAAAGTGGAACTGACTTAACAAAAGGGACCCCATGCAGCTCCACTCCTCATATCATTATACATTTATTGCATGGAGACAGTTTCCCATAGTAACCAGGTGGTGTGGTGCCGTTGTTTAACCTCTGTTACGCAGAAAACTCTGCACCTCATCTGGAGGTCAGAGTAGCTGAAATAAGAAACAAAGCATCTGAGAATGCCATCGCTCTGAGGACTGGCCTTCTCAAGAGCCATCATGGTAAATTTTCCCAACATTTTTTCCACCATCACTTCCTTTCACCTGAGTCCAACTCACAGAACAGACAGGTTCAGTCTGCAGTGACAAGCAGCAAGAAATGTCTGGTCGCACTCAACCGCATAGTCACACTCAAAGTCCCTCAGGGGATATTACACCAATATTACAGGGTTTATTTTCTTTTTTAAAATCTTGCTTGTATATTGTTTTGGGACTCATTCTAAACCGCAAAGCCAGCAGCTGATAAAACTCTAACTACATGGTACATTTAATGATTTCTTTAAAATAATGCTTGTAAATGTACAAATATTTATTTCATAAGAAGTTGTTCTCACAGTGAATTTTGCAAAGTTGCTGCAAAAGACAGTCCTTTGACAGAAATGGCAGACTTTTTTCATTTCACTTGTGGATATTATGGCAACTTGCCAGCTTAAATGATCATTTGAAAAGCCTGGGTTTCACACCAGCTCACGTATGACTTTGCTTAAACACTGTAAAACTACTGTGTACTACACAATGGTGAGTCGTATTGGTGAGTAATTCAGCCATACATGCTGCTCCAGAGCAGGTTAGCTGTGCAGCATCGGTTGCCATGGCGATCTAGCAGGTTAAAAGAGAGCCACCTTCATGACACTGAAAGCTCTGACCTTAGGCCAACACATTATTCATCATCTCACGTCATGGTAGAGTCCTCTGAACTCCCTCTTGCTGTTTCTACAGTTCTGAAATAATGTAGCTTTACGAAGCTATGCTCATGTCTGACAGAAATTGTTGTCATTCCTCTAGTGTCTCTAAAGGCTGGACACCTATATGCATAAGAAAATATCAGATAAACTACAGGACGGTTGTTGTGTCACATGGTGTTAGCTTTACCTCGTTGTATCTTCTACTGAATTGAATGTATAAAAAAGGTTATCCAATAGAGTTCCAGCTATTTAACACAGTCTAACTATTTAATATCAGATTCTATTCCAGCTAGAGGAGAAGGACCTCTCACATAATTCAATGTAGTAATTGACTGTAATTTTTACTAAAATTATTCCTAATTTACTTGATATTTACTTTTTTTTTGTTTGTTTACATAAATACAAGTTTAATACAATTCTATTATATTCCTCTTCATATACTACGTTTTAGGGAAATGTTGTACCATTTACTCTTTTACATGCATTTAAAAGTTAAAATTACAAGTTCCTTTCCTGTGTCTAATTTCAAAAAAGTCATTGTTACAAATAAAACTACTTGACTGACCTGAGATAGAAAACAGTGGAAATTAGCTCCATGTCAGCCATTTCCAACACTACAACACTATTACTTTAACTTATTCACTTTAACTGTAAATTTTAAATATAGTATACTATTCTTATATATTGTACTTCATAATACTCAATCAAGCACGAAAAATACGCATGACAAATACTGCTGTTTACTCAGCTCTCTGAGGTTGGAGGAGCCGCTTTGACCTTCAGCACATGTACCTGTATCCTGGCTACAGCGCTGTATTGTCTTGCTCATGTTTGTTTTGGCTTGTGATGGAGTATTTAAGTCAACTAAATGTGTTCTTTTTGATTGTATTTAACAGAATCGAGGTTTTGATGTTACATTTTTCTTCTTTTTCTAAATCTTGATTGAATATGCAGCCACACTGCAGCAGACTTTTTGTTTCTGCTTTCTATTGTCCGCAAACAAGGTAACATCAGGCAGGTGGAGCTGCTTGAATTTACAGGAAGCTGACACTGACAAACATTAACACAAGGAAACCACGTCATAGTTCACAAAGTGGTATTATAATAGGCAAATAGTATTCTCTGTAGGGGCTGCAAGGTGGCGCAGTTGGTAGCACTGTTGCAGCAAGAAGGTCGCCGGTTCATATCCCGGTGGGGGCACTGGGATCTTTCTGCATGGAGTTTGCATGTTCTCCCCCGCAGCATGGGTTCTCTGGCTTCCTCCCACACAGTCCAAAAACATGCTGAGGTTAATTGGTGATTCTAAATTGTCCGTAGGGTTTAGATTTATTACCTGTGTGACTGCAGTCATCTGGTAACAGAAACACCGCTGTTCTCTTACTGAGGTGCACAAGGTGTGGTTTGAAGAAAGGAACTCAGTAACACCTGTATTCAAATTCATTTCACCATGAAGTAGTGTTTAAATAACCAAACGATGCAGAAAGTACACACAGTCTCATTTCATTATGGAGCATTATGCAGTCCAAATGGAAAGCTGCAGATAATTCCAGCATGAAACAACTGCAGCAACAGAGAGCAAGCAGGCCTGAACTGTGAGGTGGAGCAAAGAGCAAACAAACTGTGGCTTCAGGATATGACTGTAAACAGAAAACCAGCTCAGTGGACTCTCATTCTGTTTAGTTTTAATTCGTGGCATTCAACTTAAATGTAAATGTGATGAGAAACCCACCAGAGTGCAGTAATAGCAGTAGACATGTGTAATACATGCATTCATTTGTCCTCATGCGATAGAGTACTCTTTTCTCTTCAGGGGAAATATTAGTAGTACACCTGTCACCTTGGGCCAGCAAAACAGCACCAAGTCCACCGGTTTCAAGAAAAATCAAGGTTTTATTTTCGTCAGACCACAGGACATGTCTCCAGAAATGAAGGTCTTTGTCCCTGTGTGCATTTGCAAACTGTAATCTGGCTTTTTTTTTTATGTTGCTTTTGGAGTAATGTCTTCTTCCTCTCTGAGTAGCCTTCAGCCCATGTCGGTACAGGACTAGTTTCACGGTGGATAATGACTCTCACTTACCAGCTTCAGCAGCATCTTCACAAGGTCTTTCGCTTTTATTCTGGGGTTGATACGCACATTTCGCATCAAAACACTTCATCTCCGGGACACAGAACTCATCTCCTTCCTGAGCACTATGATGGCTGGACATTCCCATGGTGTTTATACTTGCCTATAATTGTTTGAACAGATGAACGTGGAAGCTTCAGGCATCTGGAAATTGTGCCCAAGGATAAACCAAACTTGTGGAGGTCCACAATCCTCTTCCTGATATCTGGGCTGATTTCTTTAGATTTTTCATGTTGTCACGAAAGGAAGCAATGTGTTTGAGGTGTGCCTTAAAATACATCCACAGGTGTGCCTCGAATTAACTCAAATGTTGTCAGTTCACCTATCAAAAGCTTGCAAAGCCATGACGTCATCATCTGGGCTTTCCCAAATAGTTTGAAGGCATAGGGATCTTAGTGTATGTAAACTTCTGACTTTGAAGAAAGTAATCAAAAAATCTTAAAAATTCTCTCTCTCATTATTCTGGCATTTAGTAAATAGAAATAATTTTGGTAATAATAACTAACCTATAACAGGAAAAGTTTAGTCTGATTTAATGTCAGACAGTGAGAAAAAAGAAGGTTGTGTATCTTTTTATACAGTGTCTGTAAACTTCAGGTTTCAACTGTATATAATATATATATTTAATATATCATATATTGCAGTTTTTCCACTTGCCCTTACACTGTGACTGAAATGTTAATAATGCATCAAAATGACTGATTGTGTTCCTGAGTGTTGTATTTTCACAATTATAGCCCACAGGATAATTGTAAGGCAGATTATTTCTTTTTTTATATATTAAACCCATGTATTTATCATCTTAATCAGGATAATAGAGATACACATGCAGCCTTAAAATCAGAAACAAAACTATAATATTGCCTGTAATAGTAAATGTCATTCCTAATTACACCATGAACTGCAAACATTTTTTGCTCACCATTATTTAGCTACAGGAAAGTTTCATTGAGAGATATTGTTGCTATCACAACAAATATAGAGTTATGTATATTTGTTCAGTCTGACCAGATTAAAGATGGAGATGTATGTAAACTGGAGTTTACAGTTTTTTGCAGACTATCACTTCTTGACACAACACCCGATTACATTCTTTATTGGTGAGTATCATTAATCTAAGTTGTTTGTCTCTGTTTTCATTGCAGTAAAGCTTTGTGTTTATGGAAATTTTAGTTTGCTGCCTAATAGTTGTGAAACTGAAGTGCAAAGTGAATGATTAGTTCACAATTAGCGTCTATACTCCACTGCTACAGAGCCACTGCTTTCACCTTGCTGTTTGTGGATGGAGTTCTGCATGTGACCAGCAGGGCACACATGGCGCTGTTTATTTAACTTTGCACCGCACATGCGCAGAGATCCGCGCACTGTGCACCTAAAACGTCACTTCCGCCCCGGTCGTGTACTATTTTGTAATGTTTGTGTTTTTTGGACTTTGATAGCAGCGTCTCTCTTTAAAAACGTCGAAAGACACCCGAGCCTTCTTGAAGTAGTATCGATATGAGCTCGTTTGCTCCTTTGTGACAAAGTAAGCCTCCATTTCGTTCAGTTTCGTGGTGCTTCATACGAGTTAACCAATTTGCTATTGCTAGGTAACGTTAGCTGTCAACACATCAGTAGTTATTAAGGCTGAGGCTGAAAACCGTTACTTCTGGCCGTTTCTCAGCTGTTGTTGTGTGTGTGTGCTGGTTCGCTGCCCGCAGTGTGTCGTAAACACCCTGGTATCTTACTCAATCAAGCACTAAGGTCACTCTGGTGATTATAACGCTAAATATAGAGTTATAGGCCTTGTAGTTTATTTGATATATTTCATTAGTTAGGTTGGTCACTTTATGTTGGAATATGTTTATAATGGGCTATTTTACAATACATAAACAAATCATCATAGTGCAGTAGGACTATGACAAACTAGCTGATGAAAGAATCATTTCATATGTTAAAAAAAACAACATTCAGTTAAACCTAAAGCTAAAGTTGAGAATCAATTGGTAGGAAGGTAACCAGCAACTACTTTTGATACAAAAGTAAATTATTCTACACATCCTCAGGTTCCAGCTTGTCAATTGGCTGCTTTGTCACATATAATAGAAAACAGAAGACTTTTCTGAAGCAGACACCTCACCTTACATTAGCTTGTTGGTGTTCAACTCACCAAATTAATAATTGGTAAAATAAAACAAAACAAAACAACAACTTTCAATGAATCAATAATGCACACAATTATTAGTTTTTCCCAGTATTTATTTACTTATTTGATTTACTACCCACTCATTATACTTTTAGTTCCTTTAATTAATGACACTTCTATGTTGCTTAGTAACTAACCCTTGAAATGGTTAATTTTGGGGCTTCTGAAGTTAGGCACTTATCTTTTAATTCTCTAATTAAACGAGTAACCATTTCGTCTTTAAAATTTGAGTAAATTGGAGAAATGCCTTGCATATTTTCCATTTCCTAATTTGATGCCTTCACAGTGCTTGTGTTGTCTAATCAGCAGTTCATAATACATCCATCCATCCATTATCTATACATCACTTAATCTTCATTAGGGTCGCGGGGGGGGCTGGAGCCTATCCCAGCCGACTCAGGGTGAAGGCAGGGGACACCCTGGACAGGTCGCCAGTCTATCGCAGGGCTGCACTTAGAGACAGACAACCAAGCACACTCACATTCACACCTACGGACAATTTAGAATCACCAATTAACCTCAACATGTTTTTGAACTTGTGGGAGGAAGCCGGAGAACCCGGAGAGAACCCACGCTGCACAGGGAGAACATGCAAACTCCACGCAGAAAGATCCCGGTGCTCTCATTGGGATGCGAACCTTCTTGCTGCGAGGCAGCAGTGCTAACCAACTGTGCTACCTTGCAGTCCAGTTCATAATACAAAAAGACAGAATTTACAATGATATAAAACAACGAAAAGCATCAAATTCTTTTATTTGAGACACTGGAAATACAGAATGTTTGGCAATTTAGACTTGTAATTAATCAACTGTGAGGGCAGTGGGCATTTCATTTTTAGTCATTCAATTTCTGAAGTATTTTTAAATATTCCCAAAATCATGTCATAGATAACTTCTTTATATTGAACTTGTCGTAATACACACAGGTGCTTCTATGTTTCTTCCTTGCAGAATGGAGAATTCAGAGACCAGTCCATCAGTGAGGCCTCTGGCAGTGCCGGACAGAGGCGTGGTGCGACCCTCGGGTTCGACTGGTCACCCGTCAGAGTCAACCAGGCCCTCCAAGCACAGGGAGCAACCGTCCAAGTCACCAAGGAGACGGCGGGAGGGAAAGAGGTCGCAGCGACGGGGGGATGGTCATGAACAGCTGCTGTGGGAGATCGAGCGGCGGAGGTTGCCAGGCCAACACGAGCACTTGGAGCCCTCTGGTTCGGCGAGCGACACAGCGGAAAGCTCTCCTAAGAGGTTTGCACTGCAGGTTGCCAGCTGGTCCGCCGTACCACTGGCACAGCTCTGCTGCTCGGGACATGAGGTGATATTGTCTTGACTCCTCTTTTTTTGCTCCTCAGAAGAGCCCACTTTCTACATGGGCCTTATCCAGCCACTCACTTCGGACCCAAAGCCTGTATTCTTCCAAACCCAACTTCAGTCATGTAAGCATGAGGGTGCTGAATGAGTCGAACTTTGTGTGTGCAAACTGTTTTGTCAGGCCATTGACACTGAAGAGTTTGTGTAACTGTGTGAGATAAGATAAAATGACGATGCCGTGGTTGGATGTTACATGAGATGGGAAGGCTTACAGAGCAGGCGACAGTGCTTATTGGCACCTGATCTCAAACAGTTTCTGTGGACTGAAGCTGAAAACATACACTGACTAAATTATCAGCACAATGCCTGTCATCCGCCACGCAAAGAAGGAGAGAGACAACTGGTAAAGAGAAAGAACATTGTTTTGCCTAGTGTTTTTTGGAATTTGACCCTCAGTCATACGACACTACATCAAAGTGTCATTAGAGTTAATGAATGACTTGGCTGTTAGCAGAATGCTGAATAATCTTCATTTAATTTAGAAGACATGATATCAGTGAAGGATTTGACTTCACCTGACGTCTGTCAGGATCCAAAGCAAACTACACCACACTCCTGGTACTATGTAATTAACTAACAGTTATTGCTTTTCAAAATACTTCAGTCTGTTTTTTGGCATTTTATAGCTTGCTATTGACAGGCAGAGTTGTTTCCAGCTGCTATGCCATGTAAGTGCATTTAGGTGTTCAGTTGTTTGTATAATTGTGTCTTTATCTTTGTCACAGGCACATCCAGGACCCGGCCAGCCAGAGGCTCACTTGGAATAAACCTCCAGTCAACGTGCTTGTCATCAGGAAAATCAGAGATGAGAGCCTGGTTGAGCCGTTCAAAGAGCTCTGCAGGTTTCTAGTGGAGGTACAGGACAAAGCAGTTGACAGATTGTAGTGTTGAGCATGTGTATGCTTTATAGTATGACCGTATTATGATACTAACGTGTGATTAAAAAGACAGAATTAGTGTCTAAAACAATACAAAAACAGATGCAATTGCATTTATGTTTATGTGCTATTTACGACATGAACATGACCATAACAAGTCTAGTTTATCTGCTCTTTAAATATGATACAAACAAAATGTCAGCCACCTTAGGTTTATGGGTTTATAGACATTTAGGTATTAAAAGTGCTCAGACTTGAAACAACAGAGACAGACTGCAGTTCCAGAAAGAAGATTTTTGGTATTGATACTTTGCATACTCTTGTATTTAATGGTTTAAAGATTTGTTTCCATCTACAAGGAAAATTTGGCAGTGATTTTATCTGTTTTCTTGTGCTGCTACAGGGAAGACTTTGACTGGTCCCACTAGTTGTTAGGCATTGTTGACTAATCAGTCTAGTGCAAATATATGTAACTGCCGTCTGTGTGTGATCTGATATTTAACAAATCTGCACACTACTTGCAAGGTTGACCTGTCATCTTTTACATTAAACCATACGAAAGCGTGAACTGGCATTTACACTTATTTTATGAACCACCAATTATAATTTTTACTTTTTTAACTATATAAATATGAACTGTGTTTACATACATAATTGAGGTTAAAATACAGATGTAACACCCTCATTTTGCGTTTCTCAGTCATAATTAAAGATATAGGCATGTTTTACTTCCAAGTTTACAGACATCCCTGACATATAGAAGTTTTATCATGCATCAGAAAACATCACAGATCTAGAATTTGTTTTTTTTCCAATTTTGCATTTTATTTTAGCATCTGAGGAGAATCTCTGCTTTGTAACATTTTGTATCTTGAATAAACCACCTGTCCAAGTGATTTCAGTTACAGTTTTGTCTTCAGTGGATAATAAACTAAACACATGTTCCTACTACAAAATATGTTAAAGAACAGAGTGTACACTGAAAAACTTGTGGTACTGAGGAACAACAAGTCTTAACAAAAAGAGTCCAGGAAATGGTCCAGACATGTAGGGAAAGCTATAGTCTGGTTTCAAGCTGTTACGACACCTTTTGACCACATGTTTCCAAAACAAGCTATACTTTGTGAAGTCAGACTGTCAGAGGTGGCCAGCAAACCTACATATTTGCATTCCATACAAATACTGTCATATTAAACTGCACATGTTTGGCATATGATCAACGTCATTTTGAAAAGCATGCTTTGAAAGATGTCTGTGTGTGTTTTGACTGTTGTCGCTAAAGCCTGTATTTGTGTATCAGGAGAAGCAGATGATGGTGTACGTGGAGCGCAGGGTTGCAGATGACGCTACACTGTCAAAGGACGAGGCCTTCGGCTCCATCCGCAATCAGCTCTGCACCTTTAGAGAAGGTGAGACTCCTGCTTGCTCTACAGTAAAGACACAGACATTGATACTGACATAAAGGCACATTTTGACCAGTGTAAGAACAACTATTGATACTTTCCTGAAAAAAATGCAGTAAGGTGTCAACATGCCATTAACAGTAAAAGTTCTGTACACAATTATACTTCAGGAAAAGTGTAGACGTTTCACCAGTAAGGTCTAAATATTAAAGGTACTAAATGTGTTAATTAATAGTTTGTTGATGTCTAAATGATATTTTAATGCTGAGGGTGTTTCTGCTGTTACATAACTTAAACATATCAATATACAATACTGGTGTACAGTGGTCCTCCTAATGAGATGATTTATTTAAATCAGTGTAGGATTCAGTGGCTGACAGGTTTTTGGGAAAAACAAATGGAACCCATAGAAAATAGCCTTAACATACTGACAGCCTTGGATTCTGACTCTGACATGACATTCTATGTCACAAATAAGGATAACGGGGTATTATCTAATTTAACAATCCAACAGATTTGCTTACCTTTGATGTCAACTGATGGGCCCGTGCACAAGCGCACCGGTCAGTTAGGCGTAAAATCCAGCGATGTGTAGTGTTATAACAAATCACTAGTCCAACTCATTGAGTGAGTTTGACCAACTAATTAAGTTTGTTAGTGAACAACTCTACATATGTGGAACACAGGAGGGATAGGTTTGGTGTTGTAAAGTTTTTTGAAGTACTAAACAATGTGACATGTTTTGACACCTGAACAATTCTATGAACCTATATAAACTACGGTTGTATCAGGCGTATCAATCATAGAAACAAACTGCTTCGATACTGTTACACGCCAGACATCATACGTAAAATTGCATCTATCAAATTTTCACCAGCGTTCAAGAAGTCACAGATCACGTCGTGCACTGTCATGGAGCGACCGATGTAGTTCATGACGAGTCTTTTATTTTGTTTCATATAAATCCTAACAATATAATATATGTAGATAGTTTATTATAACTACTACAAACAATAAATATTAACAACAAACTACCCTTCAAACATCAAGCCTTCCATGTATTTTGACCTCTGTCTTGACAATCCGACAGCCTTGCTATCCAACATCAAAGAAGATATTACATTTAGTGTCGGATTATCAAGTCACGACTGTCTTTAGTTTGAAGTTGCTTTTAAAGAACAGCTTGTAGAAGAAAACAGTGGGTTGCTGTTGAGAAGACATGGCATATCTGAATCACAGACCACATGTGGTGACTGCTTCTTCAGAAATCTCAGAAGTTGGCCAAGCTATGAGGTGCTCCCATGAACAGCTTTTAGGAAATTTTACTCATTTTGTTCCTATAATACAGGGGAAAAAGCTGCTCTGATGTATAACAGTGTGAAAGTGCCAATATGTCAAATGAAGCTGTGATTGTGTGTGACTTCAGGTTATGATGATATCTCTGACTGCATCGACCTCATCATCTGTCTGGGTGGGGATGGGACTTTGCTTTACGCCTCCTCTCTTTTCCAGGTATTGTGACTTCTTTTTTTTTGGATCACTTAAGTTTTTGAACTTCTTGAAAACAGTTTATAGTAGATTAAACTACTATCAAAAGAGAACTGCATCATATCACAGTAGTTTCTTTTTTCTTGGATTGATTAAAATTTACTTCACATACACTTCCTTCCCCAGGACTAATAGTGTCAAAGTTGTTTAGATGCACTTGTCAAACAAACAAGTGCATCTAAACAAATTAGAATATTGTGAAATTTGAAAAAAATCAAATAAAAAATGTAAGATTTCATATATTTTCTATGCATTACATGCAGGGTAAAATATTTTGGTGTCTTGTTTCATTTAATTTAGACATTTCTGGCTTACAGCTCATGAAAATCTAAAATCTAGTATCTCAAATTATTGCAGTGTTTTCTAAGATCAATCTGAAAAGGATTGACAACACATAATTGTCCAACATTTGAAAAGTATTTTCATTTATACACTTGTTAGAATAATTCTATGCTATGATCCAGTGATCTTTGTGAAAAGTCTGAGTTAATGCTGTACATGTCCATTACCTCTACTGAACCTTGTAAGTGTGAGATAAGGACAAGCTGTTCTTAGCGGGTAGTCAAAACACCATGAGAGCTGTGTCTGTTCTCACCCATTTGTGGGAGGTTGTTTTCTGTTTTTCTCTTCGCTGTCTGCATGTAAGAACGAATGCTTCATGCTTTTAGTCAGTCACTTGTTCAGAATCTGTACTGTGCATGTTGGCTCCTTGCTGCAAGTAACACTTTGCTTTGACTAGAGAGACGACTCTGTGTACTGATTTGTAGCAGTTACGACTCCACTGGAGAATTTTCCTGACAACACTCAACAGTCATTTGAGGCTCCTTTACCACGAATTACTGCATCAATGTGGCAATCAGCCTGTGGCACTACTGAGGTGTTATTGAAGCCCAAGTTGCTTTGATATCAACCTCTTGTCTGTGTTTCTCATCTTCTTCTTGATGATGCCCCAAATGGGTTTCAGGTCAGATGAGTTTGGCTGATCAATCAAGCACAGTAATATCATGGTCAGCAAACCATTTGGTTGTAGTTTTGGCTCTGTGAGCAGGTGATAAGTCCTGCTGGAAAAGGAAATCAGCATCTTTATAAAGCTTGTCAGCAGATGGAAGCATGAAGAGCTCTAAAACCTCCTGGTAGATGCTGTGTTGACTCTGCACTTGATAAAACACAGTGGACCAACACCAGCATATGACATGACAGCCTAAATCATCAATCAATCACACAGACTGTGGAAACTTCACATTGGATTTCAGACGTCTTGGATTCTGTGCATCTCCAATCTTCCTCCAGACTCTATGATCGTGATCTTCGAATGAAATGCAAAATTTGCTTTGCCACTGAGCAACAGTCCACTTCTTTTCTTCTCAGCCCAGCTAAGATCTTCTGATGTTGTCTCTGATTCAGGAGTGTCTTGATATTAGACAGTTGTAGCTTCTTTCATGAAGACGTCGGTGCTTGGTGTCTCTTGATGCACCAACATCAGCATCAGTCCTTGTGAACCTCTCCCAGGTTCAAGAATCAACTTTTGTTGACAGTCCTCTCAAGGCTGTGGTCATCCCTGTTGCATGAGCACCTTTTCTTCAGCCTTTTCAGCAGTGATCTCCTGTGGCTGCTTGTGCAGAGTGTTGATGATCGTCTTCTCCACAACTTTTAAGTCAGCACTCTTCCCCATGATTGTGGTGCTGTGTGCTGAACTAGACTGAGAGATAAACAGTACTTATACTGTTTAAATAGTAATTTACTCAAAATTGAAATTGAAATCGTGTTTTTAGTTTTTGAGCTGTAGGCCAGAATGACAAAAATTGGAATAGAAGAATGCTTGAAACATTTCACTTTCCGTGTAATTAGTCTAGAATACGTTAAATTTTCACTTTCTTAAATAAGTGCAACTTGTTCACGATATCCTAATTTGTTGAAGTGCAGTAGTATATTGACTTTAAACATGATCTTTGTCTCTTTATTTAAATATTATACAGATTTAACTTTACAAGACAAAACAATTTTCTTGCCTATTTTTGTATTCTTACATTTACCTTGATGTTTTAAAGTTCTACTGTGAGATTGACTACAAAAGGTTTAAGACTGTGGGATTTTACAAGAAAGCAAGTAGAACAACCACTAGGAAACCTAGAATAACACGTGTCACGTCAAGAACTTCTGCCAAACTAATTTGAGTACTTTGTGTGGTTAAATGTCAAAACGGTTCCCCTTAAACCGCTTTTGGCTCGTGACATCTCAGAAAATCTGGTGTTAATTTGAAATTAGTCTGCAGCATACACATTGTGTTTTCGAGCCTAGTATATAGTAGAATCAGAGTTGGATTTTGTCTATCATCCTGAGATAGTTCAATTCAGCAGACCTAGATTTTTTTTCCTGACAGTTTCTTTTTCTTGTAGGGCAGCGTTCCTCCAGTTATGGCGTTCCACCTCGGCTCTCTAGGTTTTCTGACTCCCTTCAAGTTTGAGTCATACAAGACTGAAGTGGCCAAAGTGTTTGAAGGTAAAGTGGAGCTTTTTGTGAAACAATGTTCTATTCTGTTCTCATACGTTCTTAGAACTCTGGATCACCTTTACTTCTTTGTTAACTTGTACGCCTGCCTCTTGGCTGTCAGGCAACGCAGCCATCACTCTGAGGAGTCGTCTGAAGGTGAAGGTGGTGAAGGACATGCTTCAGAGAACAGGACAGCAGTCGTACAGCAGAGAGCAACAGCAGGAGCAAAATGGACTCCTTCCTCATGGACATACCAACAGTGAGGCCGGCAAGGTCACTCTGCAGCTGCAGGTGAGGACAGAGGTGTCAAAGTGGAGTCAGCGACTGGACTGGTTACCATCATACAGAAAGGCTTGTTTGCTTAGATTTTTTAGTTTCAGAGCTGCTGTTCTTGTTGTTGAGGTGTAATAGTAGTGATTTTGAGATGGTTTTGAATACATGCTCAAGCTAGAAATTAAGACAAGCACAGCAGAGACGCACATTACAAGCTGTTTCCACCTCAAGAACATGTCCATGGGCCCAAGGAACCACTTCAGGAACTTGGGAACCTTACCTGCATTTTAACCAGAGGAGACAAGGACTGGATTTAGTTTTCCTGCTGCAGTAACTAGTGCCAAAAAAGTCAGAATGATCTGCAAAGAGGTGGAACTTGAGTGGAACTGAGGCAAGCCATGCAAATGTCTTGGGGTCATGGACTGTCCTATGATGGTGCCCATTTCACTCAAAGTGGCCACGTGCTTAGTTATGCTATAACTTTAAGCCTTCATAAAATTTTGCAGCTAGAAGATCCCCAGTTCGCGACCTGGGATCTTTCTGCGTGGAACTTGCATGTTCTCCCCGTGCAGTGTGGGTTCTCTCTGGATTCTCCGGCTTCCTCCCACAGTCCAAAAACATGTTGAGGTTAATTGGTCATTCTAAATTGTCCATAAGTGTGAATGTGAGTGTGCTTGGTTGTCTGTCTCTAAGTGTAGCCCTGTGATAGACTGGTGACCTGTCCAGTGACCTGTTTGGTATGCTTTATTTTTCAACCTGAGAGGTTTTCTGCTTGGGTCAAAGTGAGAGAAATGAAGAGAGAATAAACACGTGAGCAGCTTGAGAACGTGAGGGAATCAACTATTAATTTGCTGACTGCTTCATTGCATCACTCAGCAGATTGTGTACTCTAGAAAACTCCAGACTCTGGGGTTTTTAGTATCCTTTTACACCTCTGTGACACTCCTTTGCACTAATTCATTAAATCCACTCATACTTTATTCACACAACTGTAAATACAAAAACAACACTATGACTTTTGTTGTCCTGTGTCTGGAATTGGACTAATTTGGCCAATCACTATGATTCTTTAGATTCACCAGCATATTTCGCAGTTCAGCTCCTCTGGGTTCCACATTTCTTCATCTTCTTAAATATTTGGTCAAGAAGAGCTGGTGTGACTGCAGTCAGTCCTCCTTATTAATGTGATACCGTAAACCATTAGGATGATGCTGGCTGGCTGTGTGTGTTTTTGTGTTGTTTCCCTTTTATCATGAGGGTGTGTGCGCACATAGATACATTCCTATGGCTCAGTGAGGGAGCATCAGCTGGGTTGCCATGGCGACAGTCATAATAAAGTTGCTTGGCACGGATATCGGAGAAAAAGTCGGATGTTGTGAAGTTCTGTTGAGCCAGTTGCCATGGAGACTGTGGCGTCAACAGTAGAGTCTGCGCCGAATGGATATTTAATGATTCCTGACGCTCTCAGTCTGACACACTGTGGAACTAAACAACATGCCGCACTGCTGGAGTCACGCACACGCAAACACACACCGTGCTGCAGTTTGTCATTTTCAGTGCGCCCCTCTCCTCACACCCCAGGGTTTTATTTTGCCTCATCGATAAGAGACAGTGATAGATTGTTCTGGTCTCTGAAACCCAGTTAAACCTCACATTACATCACGTCTGCTGTGTCCAGCAGGATGTTTGCGCTGTGCTCAGCTGACGTCAGTACATCTGCCAGACATCACAGCTCAGCGCTGCAGTATCCTGTGTGACTGACTGAAGTGTGGAACATGATTTGTATGCCGCTGGTCTGCTTGTAGTTTCCCAGTGTAATGTGGAACTGTAATGCACTGTGACTCTGCGTCTGCTGTTTGAAGATTTAATGCTTTCATTGAGCGCATTGATTACATTTACTGTCTGTGAAAGTGAATTACATACTGTAGACTTCAGAGAACATGGTGATATGCATCAGAATGTAGTTATTCACAGTGTTTGGGGGCTGTAGAGTTATCTACACTAAAGGCACTATTGTTACTTTATCTTAATCATCTATAACCCAAAGAGTTTTTGCTTTGAAATGGATTGACGTGTTTGTTTCTTAGTGGGTATCTCAAAAAAAAAAAGAAATACTGGGAAGAATTTAGAAAAGGGGCTGTGGACGTATTGATTCATTTTGGTGTGAGGAGTGCCACCATGTGGGTATTAATTTAACACATCATATTAGGCACAGTCTTGACAATATGTTTCAACGGTCTTCTTGTGTTTCTCCTGACTCAGCTTTTAAATAACCTTCATTGACCCTGAACAAATGCCACTTGTTGATGTTTTACTTGCCATTTGATTTTCCTCTTAAAAGCTGACAATTTTATATTTATAGTGCATATGCTGAACATACACAGAAGTATGAGAGCATTTATGGCATTTGGCCTATAGATGGCACTACAACAACACTGATGATTTTGCCTGTGCAAAACCTTCGTATTCTCAGATAGGATTTTTTTTACTCCAAAATCCACATTATCAGATATCCCTATGTAAAACACTGTATAGCCTATGTGGAATTATGTGCCATCTCCTTCTAATGTGAACTGGTGTGTGTGTGTGTGTGTGTGTGCAGGTGTTGAATGAGGTGGTGGTGGACCGTGGCCCATCCTCCTACCTGTCCAATGTGGACTTGTATCTTGACGGACGACTCATCACCTCAGTGCAGGGAGACGGTAAGCAGATTAACTCGTATAATGCTTTTTCACATATGTGTTTTAGCACATTGTTGTTTTTTTTTTGTTTTTTTTTTATACAGTGGGGATCTAAATGCAAATAAAGTAAATGTGGAAAACAAATATGGTAAAAATATGAAATGTCCTCCCTCTTTCTCTCTGTCCTTCAGGTGTGATTGTGTCCACACCTACAGGCAGCACAGCGTATGCAGCCGCAGCAGGAGCCTCAATGATCCACCCCAACGTTCCCGCTATCATGGTCACTCCCATCTGCCCACACTCGCTGTCCTTCAGGCCAATCGTGGTCCCTGCTGGAGTGGAGTTGATGGTAAGAATAGAGGTGGAAACATACAGTTTGGTATATGTTGAGTGCTCCTTCACTGCTGGCTGCACACATTTTCTAATCTGTTGTGCTTTGAGTTTTGTTGCTGTCTGAGCTGCCTCCTTTTTTCTTCCTCACAGCACTCTGAAAGGTTCAGGTTTGTTTGCCCTCCCTGTATGAAGGTACCTAAAAAAGTTCTTGGCCTCACTGGAAAAAATGCACGAGAGAAAGATTGTTTGATTATTTTTCAACACAGTCTCCTTTAACTTCAGTGCACATGGCCTACTGATGTTCAAGTTCCTATCCCTTCACAAAAGAAGGTCACATCTTGATCCTCCAGATTTTCATCAACAGCATAAATGACTTCATCATCACTCTGAAACTGGCGACCACACAAGTTGGATTTTAGTTTGAGAAGTCAAATGGTGCAGGTCTGGTGAGTACGGTGTATGGGGCACCAGTTCAAAGCCACATTCAGCTGCTACTGCCACCTGACAGAAACATTTTACTGGAGCAACAGCACGCCAGCTGAAAGCTTTGCTCTTCTTTATTCTTTGATTGCTTCAAACATTTGAGTTTTTGTGGACAGTGATATAAGGCTTTACAGTGTACAGTTGTGCTTGAAAATGGGAGTAACACACTTTGTTTCCGGGTGAGGCCAAGAACCTTCTGAAGCAGCCTCCTATGGGGAATCATAGATACCTGTCCAGCTTACAGATTTAGGTAACCACTGTAAAGGAAGGCTTTTTTAAATGCATTATTTACTAGTTTAGGCCATCGTTTTTATTTCATGGTTGATACACGAAGTGTCCCTAATACATACTCAATTTTATCACCCAACCGTACCACTTGTGTGTTTGGAGGCACAGCTGTATCTGACTACTGATACTGAGGCTGTGTGCTATTCAGGCTTTGCTCTCATATGTAGCTGTTTTTCACTGCTGTTTTAGAGCAGCCTGAACCTTTGTGTCTGTTCCAACTGCAGGAACCACCTGTGTAGAACCTGTTTTGGGTTTGTTTTCAGTGGAGACAGAAGGATCTTCTCCAGGCTAGTTACTTCTGGGCAACCCTGGAGCACTGCTGTGTGGGTCTCAACACTGATTGCTTCAACTCAGACAAATACAATCTTTCCCTTGACATCATAATCTTAACTGTAAAATTTACAAACACACCAAATGCCCCATTGTCCCAAAACTAATAATTGCAGTTGTTTTGGCTCAGTTGCAGTCAAAGCTGTCACTTCAGATGCATTAGAAATAGGAAGACAGGTTGTTTCTGTAAACATTCGTGCCACCTCGCGCCTACCTCAAGTTCCTGCAGTGGAAATCCATCTGTTGGTATTAAATTCTGTACCTGAGCCACAATCTCTGCAGTAGCATGTGTGGCTTCAGGGATGGCTGTGTTGGTCAGTCGCTCGGCCCACACTGTAATCCATAATGGAATATCTCAACAGCTGTGAGAAGGATTTCCATGGAATGTTTTACACACAGTCAGGGTCCCCAGAGAAGGAATGTGAATAACTTTGGTCATCTCCTGACTTTTGCTTTAGCTCCAACCAGGTTAGAGGTTTTGTTTAATATGTCTCAGGAATATTAAATATGTTGCCACAAAATCTGGTACAGATATTCCTATCAGTTGTCGGAATGACTTGCAACATTATTGAAATTGTACTTTGGTTTTTGACTAAATGCCTCCAAAATAAGATGTTCCCCATCATTTATAGCAGAACTTTGTTAGTGTGCAACAAGGTAATGCTCGTATTAATAAAGAATGGATGTTGATATGGTCATTGTTAACATGTTTGTATTTAGCTCAAAGTACAGCCTTAAACAGTCGCTGGTGAGGCACTAGACTCTTAAGACTCCTGCATCTTGGAGACTGACACTTGGTCTTCATCTCCTCTGAAACAGATCACCTTGTCTCCGGATGCCAGGAACACAGCCTGGGTGTCGTTTGACGGCAGGAAGAGACAGGAGATACAGCACGGAGACTGGTAAAAATCATGAACTGTTTTTATGAGTTGCAGTTAAAGTGCACGGATCTTCTCTTCCTTCAGTTTAGGATAAATTTTCTCTCTATTTTTCTGTCAACAGTATTAAAATCACCACGTCCTGTTACCCGGTGCCGTCTATCTGTTGTCATGACCTGGTGTACGACTGGTTTGAGAGTCTGGCTCAGTGTTTGCACTGGAACGTACGCAAGAGGCAGGCCCGACTCGCTGACGTCTCCGACTCATCCGACACAGAAAACTGAAGATTTGGGTATTTCCTGGCAAAAGACTTTCAGCTGACGTTCTCCACACCAGCATAGTGAGAATGAGGGGGTCAGGTTTGTGTCTATGGCCTGATCCGTGTGACACTGGTCCTAAGAACAGCATGTATAATGATCATACTGTGTACACAGTATTTTACACAAAGAGTCATCATCTCATTGCATTCCAGTCTCACACTGCAGCCCCATCTGTAGCTTCCAGGAAGAAAGCATGTTTCTCCTTTAGAGAAGAAAAAAAATTATCTAAATGATTACATAATAATGCAATGTGAATAATGATGATCACCTAAAGCTCCTCATGAATATTTCTGAAAACTGTTTTACTTTGAACACTTAATCATTAACGCAATGTTAAGTGTCAGAAGTGTACAAGTTACTGGCCGCGATTCATCAGAATCATAGGTAGAAAAACATGAATAAAACTGAAATCAAACTGATAGACTTTTACGTTAACCGATAAATGTAAATTTGTACATATAGAATTTTAGTATTAATGTGTTTAAAATGTATGTGATATTTATATATTTTCAAAACAGGAGTTTGAAATAGTTGGAAAAATAGCCCATTTAAAACTTGTCAAGTCAACCAAATACAACTGTATGTGACTGTTTTCTGCTCTTGTATAATCCAGAACCTTTGTTGTCTGTGTGCGTACACATGTACATTCTTTCAGTTGCCTTCACAAGTGTTCTGCCTGAGTTTAAATACAAATCAGATTGCATGTAGTAGGACTGATGCAGATGAACCGGCTGTCATTTTCATGATTAATAAACTGTCACATTGTCAAAGGATGTGGCAAAGGGTGGTAATGGTCAAATAAAGCTTCAAAACTGTCCAACTTTTTTGTTAGTTTGTTCTTTGGGTAAACCTTTCTAGTCCAATGTGAAGATGGTATCAGATTATTTAAGGCATTTTTTATTTTATTTTGTTGCAGTGCTAAACTTTGTGGCCATTTTAGTAGAAACAACACAAATATATACATTTTAGTACTGAAATAATAGATTTGATATTGGAATCTTTACTAATAAACATCAGGATTTCAAGACCTGCTAGCATCCTGGTATCTTACTAGAGATGATTCGTCCAACTATGACAGACAGCAGGACGTAACAGCACAACTGCTTCATTTTTCAGAGGTTTTCATAGTTCAGTCATTTTTTTGTACTTAAGAATTTAAACATATTCTGTCAACATATACAAATACTAATCATGCCACTAATAGAAGTCTAGCAGTTTTGTTGTTTTGACATGTATTCATATTGAGCAGGCCTTTTCAACATTTTAATATTTCAGTTAAGTATATTTCTAATATACTAAACTCGTAATCAGTCATTATATATTATAATTTAGTAGTTATGAATCAGTGTTGCACTTCAGTTATCTTTTTTCAATTAGACTGTAAAAATGTACAAATGATAGAACGTCAGTGGTTCCAGAGTTATCTTCTGACAGACAGCTAATCAATTAGCTAATAATTTCATCAGTGTTTCACCAAGAATTGAAAAAATAAAGAGGAGTATTAGAAAAAAATATCACAATACTCGTGTGCTTTCTATATCTTTATTGCAATGATAAGATACAGATATATTTCCAGACATCCAATTTTATTAAATTATACTCCCAACATTTCAGGAGACAGTCTTGAGAATGATATCGATCCAAATGTGGACAACTAGGTGATCAAAAGACATGGTTTTTGACCAGAGATAAAACATGGATGTTTTACAGTTTCACTTTTATTTCCCCCAGAAATGTGTGATGAGAAGCAGCAGCATAGAGAGTAATAATACTACAATATACAACAGACCGATACTGTGCAACAGTCAAGAACAACTGGGAGAATCTTTTTTTTTTCTCTCTCTTTTGTAAAATGGTTATGCCAATATTCAGAGTACAGCCACTGGCACACTGGCAACTCAGTAAACAGAGATGCACTTTGCCCGTTTGGGGAAGAAAAGAAAAACAAAGACACTGAAAAACAAACAAGACAACAACATGGTGGTGCACAAGTTCGAAAGTCAGAGAGCTACAAACCTCAGTGGGATTACAGCAGACAGAAACAAACTACTTAATACAGTCTAAAGGAGGAGTTGTTTTAGGGCGAAACAAAACAACTGTACAGAGAGCTGAGTGGAATATATTAAAACATTATTTCATCAGATTGTGTTGGAACTGGCGAGCTGCAGTCAGTGTTACACAAGCCACTGGCTTTATAACCTCAGGTTAATGACTGCCTGTTGTTAGTGAGACGTTAGTGATGTGGCAGTGCACAATTAACCAACCAGATCACACAGTTAACATTAAGAGGCAAATGACAAAACAAAAAGGAAAAAATGCTGATATCTAGTAGAACCCACTGTTTTCTAATCCCAGATGTTACCTTTAAATAATGAGTACACTTATTGATCATATAAAAACAAAAATAGACGCTCTGTGGAATAAAATTACACCTAATGCAAAAGAAAAGGACAAAAGCTTGTTTCATAGTTTTTTAGACCGTGTACTGTATGTATATATCTGATATATTGATAGAATCCATATATAAATGATACATTTCTATTATTTATACTTAAATATTATCCTCGCTATGACTATAAAGAGCATCTAAAGACATTTCTAGCCAGAAAATAATGTGAAGGAACAGCTTGGACCTCGGTTACACTGTTGCCAGCTTCGACTGGTCAGTGGAGCTTAATTTAAAAAACAAAAACAAAAAAAAAAAACACCCACTATTTTCACACAACGGCTTGTGTGAGACTAGACAGGACTGGTTTGGATGGGAGTCTAGTGCGAACACCTTTAAACGGTTTCATTGAGACCAAAAATCTTCGTGTAGCTGCACACTAACAACCTTGTGCTGTGCTTTTTCTGTTCATTTCGTCCAAAGATGTGAAAGTTTTGATGAGTTTGACACTGCGGTAACAAAAATGAACAAATTCACAAAACGCCCCCCCTCCCCCCGCTTTCACACTCCATGTTAAAAGCATGCAGAACATCGTTATTAGCTATGTTTGGCACTAGTTTGCTTTACTTTAAATCTGGTTCAGTTTGCAAATAATTCAGTCAACATTCTAGTTTTAGTTGTACAGCAAATACCGCAATCTTTTCCTAAAAAAAAGAAAATTAAGTACACCAGCTGTGTCCCAGTTGATTACACTTACTCTTAAATATGAGTTCCACATTATTAAAAATGAACTAGAAGTACTCCACAATGTGTTTAGAGGATTGCACTATGATCGTAAGCCATTAAAAAAAAAAAACAGAAAATGGGAAGTACCTCAAAGAGCCGTACTACTCTGCTGTCCAAACACTCAATCCAGCCACATTATGGTCAGTTTCTTTTTTAGTTTTCTTTGCGTAAACTACAGGATTTGGTCCACCCTACTCAGTTCAGGTTTCAAATCTGACACGCTGGTCATTTTCCTTTCAGTTCTGCCTGAGAAAGCTATCAGACTGGATGGGACGTGTGCTCCTGGCATAGCTGGCTCACCAAAATACCACAAAAAAGAAAGAATGGGGGGGTCTCTCCGTAACTCCTGTGATTATACTAACAGTGTGGAGCTCAAAGGACAGTTATGTAAAACAAAAAAGGAGCAAAGAAACTAGCATCGTCATCTATTACGGTCAGTTTAATATCATCAATCTTCTGTATCATTTGGATCTGACCTCACATACAAAACATCCAAATTTAGTCAGTGACATGGGATGTGATAAAAATAACTTGAGTTGAATTAAGACAAAGTAACATCATGACACGAGGAGCCAACGAGACAAAGAACCAGCGACCTTCCATCAGAGATGTTCTGGTCTGATGGGTTCCTCAGGCAAACGTGTCCGGCGGCAGTTTCATTTTTACCATAAATAACATTTGGGTGGGAGGAATCTGATCCACCATAAGGCTTCTTTTTAAACATCTTTCCCCACTGTCGTAAGCTGTTAACATTTCAGTGTTGCATCTATCCCGGTACTGTTTAGTGGAAGATCTCAACAACAAGAGATGGAGCCTGTGCGCGGCCTCAGCGAGCTCAGAGAGACCGGACTAGCAGGTCCTGGGATCACAGCAGGGAGGGAGGGAAGGACAGAGAGAAGTAGAGAGTAATGGGACTCGATTAAGTTTATGTTTCTGCAGTCTGGGGTTTATTTTCACTCCCACCCCCTTCTTTCCTCTCTTGTGTCTCCTCATCTTCCTCCTCTCCCTCCTCTTCTTCCTCCTCCTCCTCCTCCTCTTCCGTGTGCTGCTCCAGCTCCTCCCTGGTGATCATCTCAAAGTCGTTTCCGTTGCTGTGCTGCGAGCCTTCATCCTCCCGGCGGTCGCTGTCTGTGTCTGAGTGGCGGTCTTCCATTTCCTCTCCCTCTGCTTCTTTACTGTCCTCTGGTCCTGCTTCTTTGCTCTCCTCTTCTTCCTCCTCCTCGTCGTCGTCACCGTCCTTCTTCTCGCTGTCCGACTTCTCATCGCTGTCTGACTTCTGAGCCTTGGTGGAGGCGCCACTGTCCTTCTCGTCCGTCTTGTCTGAGCCCTTCTTGTCGCTCGCCCGCGGTCCTTTGTACTCATGAGTGTAGAGAGGCCTGAACGAGTCAATGAAACCGACGTCTGCTGTCAGGTTGGGGAGGAACCAGAAGTGATGGCGCCCGCCGGTCACCAGCCAGATGATCAGGAAGAGAATGCAGCGTGCTGAGGGGAGGAAAGAAAGGCCATCAGTCAATTTTTACAGCTTTAAACACAGGCACCCTGCATGTTTTCCATCTCAAAACTTTCTAGACTTTTTCAGCGTGTCGGACATCTAACTACTAATTAGCTAGATGTTTATCATGTATGCATAGAAGTAGTTTTAAAACCAACTGCATGTTACATTCTACTATTATGTTGTCAAATAATATCCAGAAAGCTGTAGCTCATTCCTACATATTGAGTTCAATGCACTGGAACAGAGAAGAGGCTGCTGCTACCTGTACTTGTATTACTGTCATATTAAAGGAATAATGCTGTCATTGCTTCCCCATACTTTTGGTCTCTTTTATTTATTTTAAGAACAGAACATAAGTTAAATAATGTGATTTTTACAGTCTTGATTATTAACTATGTCCTTTGAACAAACAACAAATGCAGCCATGTTGGTGGTTTCCTTACACAGAAAGGACAGTTTTACGTTTACTTTTCTGATACCTACATCACTGCATCACTTCAATGATGAGCTTAATATCTGATTATTTGTGATTATTCGTTATGCATTCAAAGATGGTGCCTCATTCTCTTTTAAGTTGGTCGCGAATGTCTAGATTGGATACAGGTATGAGGCAGAGCTTTTTTGCAGGCTGTGACACCTACAAACAGCTTTGTGTAAGAGTGTGCATTCATTCACACAGTGAGCTTCTTACTTTGCTTCATATGCACTCACTGTCTGATTGCTCTGAACAGCCAATAAAACACTTGTATGATTATCCATCCATCCTTATAGTATTATCTACACACCGCTTTATCCTCTGTAGGGTTGCAGGGGGGGCATTGTGAAATGCCTCCATTTGAAAGAAGTTGTCTTGTTTTAACTCAACAGAAATCTTCACAAAAGATAAATGCAATTAACAAAATTAAAATAAGTCCACAGCTGCAATAATGTCATTATTATAGTTTTACGTTACAGAGAGAATCCTTATTGGAAGACAAGTTATTTTAAGTTATTTTTTTGGCCTTTGTTTGATCGTGAAGTGAGACAGACGAAAGTAGGGGAGAAGAATGGGGGGAGGACGTGTGGGAAAGGGCCATGAGCGGGATTCGAACTCATGACCTCCACATGGGGACTGTAGCCCTGCACATGGGACGCCAGCTCAACCAGGTGAGCTATAGCGGCGGCCCGTAAATCCCCCTTTTTTGAATTCATATATTGAGATAATTAGTAGACAGCATTATAATGGAGAGGGGTTCCAGGTAAGAAAGTCATTAGAAATAATAAATAAATAGTTAAATGAATACCTTTCTAACGGTGTGGGTATACAGTATGCTTTTTTTGTTTTTAGTTTTGCAGAAGAAGTGATGTAGGAGCTTTTAAACATTTCAAGGGGCCAGTGGCTGCTTCTTCCTTCAGTACTCACCGACAGCTAGAAGCAGGATACTAGCCACGAAGCAGCCGGCTGCAACACTTAGATAGTACACTCCAACACGCATTTCTGCTGGCCACAGCGGGAACAGAGTGGCTGCTATCACTGCAATAACTGTGAGACACAAAGAAGTAAAACTGGTGTCAGATAATCCTCCGGTCACTTCTTGTTCAGCAGAAGTTCACTTAAGATTTTCAACCCACTGACTCACCAAGGATCAGACCCATAGCAAACGTCTTGAAATGGACAGGATCGTAAATCCACACATACACCTACAAACGAGAAACATGCACTGGTTTTTCATCGGTTTGAGTATCACAAACTCTTTTTTTGTATGTAATGATTCTGTCTACATACTAACCTCATTTCCATCTAGGAACAGCTGATCCTCGTGAGGTTCCAGTTTAAACTTCTTCTTCACTTCTTTCTTTTTCTTGGGGGTTCCAGGACTGTCATCCTGTCAAGTAAAATAAAAAGAATTATCAGTCACTTTCTGTAGTGGCAATGTGATCAGAAAGAAACTACAGACCAAACCTTTGTTCCTTTTGCTGTCAGTGTGACCTGTAAGCTTTACACTTAGTCATGCTTTCTCTTTCTGACGCAGATCAGACATCATGTACGCATGACTTTGTACTTCTTTCCAGGACTCCTAAAGATCTGTCTCTACGTGTACTTCAAACTCAGAGAGCAGAGTCAATACCACCCTTTTACTGTCAGGTTAGGAGGCTGATCAGTTCTGCTGGGTCAAGGCAATTCAAAGCAAACATATAAAGCTGCAGTCAGTCAGGTGGAGTTTGTGCTTCTGTTAAAGCAGCAGAAATTTACTAATGTCTGACAGTAGATCTGAGCATTTAAGCAACTGATGTCCTGTTATTATCTGAATGTATACAAATGTGTTTATCACATTTCTTACTGTGCCATAATTTCAGATATAATCTGAGGAGTTTTGTCTTCAGAGGATCATAGTGTTGAGTCACTTACACTTTTCTCTTTCTTAGTTTCAGCAACCTCAGACTCTTTCTTCTTCTCTTTCTCTTTCTTCCCTTTTTTCTCCTCCTCTTTGCTGCTGTCACCCTTTGCTTTCTCCTTCTCTTTCTCTTTCTTGGCATCTTTCTCTGGCTTTTTCTTCATCACCTTGAGAGCTCGGTGAAAGAACTGCTTCTTTAGGAGTCTACAAAAGAGGGGAAAAAAAACATCTGATTACGAAGGGCCACAAACAATAATTTATTTTAGAGCATTACTGCTCAAAATGCTCATAGACTTTGACATCTTAACTTTATCGTTAAATGCAAACATTTCTGGAGTAATTGCTCCGCAAGACTGAAAGATATTTTAGAAGATAATTTAGATTTCATTTAAGTTAAAGTATAATGATTTGCCACTCAATTAGGCAGCATCTTGTTTGACATTTATTTAATATTTTTAGTTATTATGCAAAGAGATTATTTTAGTTCCAGCTTCTCATATGTGGTTTTCATTATTTTTGTATTATGTTTAATGGACCAAAAAATAAATAAATAAATAAGTCAAGAAGTAAAAGTCAATACATTCACCACGAATCAAAAAGGATGGCTGGCTGCAGGTCCATATGATAGCAGCTATATTGGCAGATTATGTGCTACATACCAAGATACCTTGTTGTGTAGTAAATTCCTGCTCATGACAAATGTCACAAGTGTAGCAAAGTGTGTTACACAGCTGACCTATTGCAGTAATCCACCGCCGACTCCCTGGTGGTGAAGAGTGCCTCCTCTCCCTTCTTAGCTTTGGCCCACTTGGAGTCCAGCAGACAGTCCACAGCCTTTGAGGCTAAATGTAGAGAGACAGAAAACAGACTGAGCAGGACAGGCCTTGTGTCAAATTACCATGCAGCGATTACGACTGACGGTTACATGATTATTGTGAAACATTTTACATTCTGTCAGTTCATCCACATCTAATCTAATAATGAATTCACACAATACAAGACCCAACAGGTACCAGTGTTGTAATAAGGTAGCATTTCCTAATTTTAACTTGAAAATGGCAATCACTGATGCTGGGCCACTGTGAGACAGCGAAAACAAGCTGTGAAGTTTATGTGCTGATCTTGTTGCTTATTTTCAAACACTGCAGTTAAACAGTAATATTATAAGTGACCAGCTGATGAATAAAAGTCCAACAGTCACTCCGTTGTAGCTGTTTTTAGTCTCCAACAACTCCAGAGAAAAATATCTGTTCAGCTCCAGTACACAGATGTGTTTACCAGTGTGTGTTCTCCAAAAAAGACTGCAGCAGGCAGCCAGGAATTATACCAGTGAACAAAAAATGTTAATGTATAAACAATAAGCTAAAATAAATGATAAAGTAGAGAAGAGGTTGCAGATTCAGGTGATAATTCTCTGCAGGTTTTATCATTTCAAGAGACACACTGTTATTTAGCACATTATCATAATAAAAATGATGACTGTAACTGCTTTGAGATTGTTGACTGGAAATACTGGGGCTGAAAGCAAAGGTCATGTGATGGTGATGATCGTAATTGCTGGCCTCTGCAGGCTGACCCTGTTCCACCCACAACTACTGAGTAAACAGTGTTTCCCTAAATTGACAATGGCTCCCACTGTGCCACAGAACAGGACACATATAAATACTGTGTGGGAGGTTCAGGTCTGCAAATGAAACTGCAGCAGAAACATGAAATCAAATGCAACCGATAATCTATTCAGTAACACAACGATGTGTGTGCTGGACATCAGAGGGCAGGTTTGGACAGTCATCTCTCCACACAGTCCCGAAGTTGTGTTCAGCTAGTACTAACCAATGAAGTAGTCCACTCGGTGGCCCATCATGTTCGTGGACTTGGTGGGGCAGTTAAATCGAAGGTACTTGGCCACCGCTTTCTCCTCCTTGGTGGGCTCGCTCACCTCCTGCAGGATGACACAAACAAAAATCAGCATCATGAGTTTGGCCAGTCCATCATGTTCACCCTCAACTTCTGTAGCAAGGCAGTGGTTGTCTTGGAGGTGTGTTTGGGGTTATTATGTTGGAATATTGCCCTGCAGCCCACTTTTGTAAGGGATGGGATCATGCTCTGCTTCAGGATGTCACAGTACATTTTAGCATTCATGGTTCCCTCAATGACCTGTAGCTCCCTACAACCGGCAGCACTCATGCAGCCCCAGACCATGACACTCCCACCACCATGTTTGACTGTAGGCAAGACACACGTCTTTGCACTCCTCACCTAGTTTCCTGGTTCACGTATGACACCATCTGCACCAAATAAGTGTATCTTGGTCTCATCAGACCAGAAGACATGGTTCCAGTAATCCATGTCCTTAGTCTGCTTGTCTTCAGCAAACTGTTTGCGGGCTTTCTTGTGCATCATCTTTAGACGATGCTTCCTCCTGGGATGACAGCCATGCAGACCAATTTGATGCAGTGTGCAGTGTATGGTCTGAGCACTGACAGGCCGACCCCCCACCCCTTCAACTATTGCAGCAATGCTGGCAGCACTCATTTGGCTATTTTCCAAAGACAACCTCTGAATATGACGCTGAGCACGTGCACTCAACTTCTTTGGTCGACAATGGCGAGGCCTGTTCTGAGTGGAACCTGTCCTGTTAAACCGCTGTATGGTCTTGGCCATTGTGCTGCTGCTCAGTTTTAGGGTGTTGGCAATCTTCTTATAGCCTAGGCCATCTTTATGTAGAGCAACAATTCTGTTTTTCAGATCCTCAGAGAGTTCTTTGCTATGAGGTGCCATGTTAAACTTCCATTGAGCAGTATGAGAGAGTGTGAGAGCGATAACACCAAATTTAACACGCCTGCTCCCCATTCACACCTGAGACCTCATAACACTAACGAAGTCACATGACACCGCGGAGGGAAAACGGCTAATTGAGCCCAATTTGGACATTTTCACTTAGGGGTGTACTCACTTTTGCTGCCAGCGGTTTAGACATTAATGGCTGTGTATTGAGTTATTTTGAGGGAAGAGTAAATTTACACTGTTAAACAAGCTATACACTGACCATTTGAAATCGTTGCAAAGTGTCATTTCTTCAGTGTTGTCCCATGAAAAGATATAATAAAGTATTTGCAGAAATGTGAGGAGTGTACTCACTTTTGCTGCCAGCGGTTTAGACATTAATGGCTGTGTATTGAGTTATTTTGAGGGAACAGTAAATTTACACTGTTAAACAAGCTGTACACTGACCATTTGAAATCATTGCGAAGTGTCATTTCTTCAGTGTTGTCCCATGAAAAGATATAATAAAGTATTTGCAGAAATGTGAGGAGGGACATACTGTATGCTGGCACTGATCTACAGATAGACAGCCAAGAGCGAATCTTTAAGCTACATCTTGCTTTGGATAATTCACAGAATTGATCAAATTGTAGATCTCATAACAAACTAAATTTATACATATTGTAACTCTCAACATCTTGTGTAAATTCCATTAAATTACACAAAAAAAAGATGCAACAGCCAAAGACATTGAACGAGAAGTTTGAACCAGCCAACTACCTCACAGTCTCCTAAATCCAGAATCAATACTTTGTTTAAAATCAATCCACTCCAGGGGCACCGCGATAGCTCACTTGGTTGAGCTGGTGTCCCATGTACAGGGGCTAAAGTCCCTGATGCAGTGGTAGTGAGTTCGAATCCGGCTCATGACACTTTGCAGCAGGTCCTTCCCCCATTCTTCTCCCCCACTTTGCTGTCCCCCTCTTCACCACACTTTCAAATAAAGGCACGAAAGGCCAAAAAAAAAAAAAAAAAAATCAATCCACTCAAACACATCTGATGTAAGCCAACAGAAGAAGGGAAAAATACTTCATTGATATATCGCATAAACTCACCATTAATCAGTGACAAGGACAACATGAGAATGTTATTACGAGGAACACCGACAAAACTAGACGCAACACAAGCACCTAATAATCATGGAGCAGTTTTCAGCCATGCTCAGTGGAGGGTCAGTTACAGATGTGGTGATCGGCTTTTCAAAATGTTATATACTTTAGGATTTACACCACCTTTGTGTGCACTGCTACCTACAATATATTTATGAGATATTATGTCAAGTTTTGGTGCCGACTTCAGCTCTCGTTGTGGGGCTTTGTCCTCCCATGGGCCTCTATTGGCCCACCACTGCTGGGCAAGATACTGGTGCTACTAACTTGCCGTGCTGTTGTACTGCACGTTCGGTTTTACTCTAAAGGTCGTATATGATATTTTGTCAATACAGCAACAAACTTCAGCCTCATTACAAAATGTCACCAGCTCTATGACTCTCACTCCAAAAACTTGCCCCTCATTAGCATCACCAATATATTTGTGTTGGATTTTTTTAGACGATGTCAGTTTTTGCTTCATCAAAACAGAAGTGGCAATCAGAGCTGAAGAATCAGTTTTTATAATTTTATTGGAGCAGCAACACAAATAGTTGTGAAGCTGCCATATAGTTTCATACTTATTTGTTTATCTTATAAAACACTGAACAACTATGAAAGATTCCCCTCTCAACTTCCCAAAGTTGTGCCTTCAAGCTCCTTTATATTAACAGTCAAAACCCCAAATATGTCATTTGTTATCCTACACAACAAAGAATAGCTACACAAAAGCTAAACTTGGACAAACAGTTCACTGAATCAAAATATTTGTCAGCATATTTTCTTTTAATCAACAACAAAAAAAATTGGGCTAATTAGTGCAGCTCTACATTGTGAGTGCAAAATGTAGACATACATTGCTGTTTTGGGTTTTTTCATTAAATGTCTGCTACCAGTAATTTTACCATTAAACAGTCCACATTTGACTTTCACTGCAGTCTCCAACGCCTTCATTTAGCCAGTAACACTTCATTATAAAACATCTCTGACAGCTGAAACAAACTACAGTGTGTAAGATTCTCACCCAACGCCATAATACATATAAATGGGGCAATTTTTAATTAACTTATTTTGTACAGTGCTTTATCAATAAATCAATAAATGGTACTAGTTGTGTCTGCAGGACTGGTGACATCTTACAAACATACCCAAAAAAACAAACAGCTTGACAAACAACTACACAGAAAATGACATGCCAAAGATAACCGAAATAACGGAAATCTAAGAGATTGACAGTCTCTCCACCTCTAAAGGCTGGGAAGCATTCTGTGTACTTTGGGAAAACTAGAACAAAAACTAGACAATTTGTCATGGTGGCCAAATCTTTCTCTAACTTATCTTCCCCTCTCACAGCATCTGCACTGTCTGCTTCCTGCCAGCAGCTCTGAATTGCATGCCAGCAGAGGGGGAATTAGAGCATCAGCACAGCGAGATTCAGCGCTGCTTCATCCAGTCCACCTGGCTCCGGTGCGCAACATGAGGAAGACAAAGCCATCAAACGAGCCTTTGTTTAGTGAAGCAGGCATCAGTGGCACAGCTCAGTTACACGAGAGCGCTACACGGAAAGCCCCTGTCGCTGTCTATATGATCTACCCAGCTTGATCACAGGAGGATTAGCGTCTCTCTACTAACTGTGTACCCATAACCCAAACAGCGCTCAGGTCTTGTTCAGCCATCGCATTTGCAGAATGTGCCACACTGAAAATAAAGCATGGGTGCTTTAAATCTACAGTACTGTGCAAAAGTTTGAAACACTGCAGTAAAGAGGGCAAACAAACTGCCCTTTGTTAGAGCCATAAGTCCAGAGCACCTGCTGCCATTTTCTGCGTCCCAGTTCTTGTTGGTGTTTTTGTGCACAGGTGAGTGACTAGACTGCATTTCCACATCATGGGAATAGATTTTTGGCTGCAAGTCTACCATGAAGACCAGATTTATCTGGACTGTAGATGGTGTACCAGGGTACCACTGGCTCTGCCAGGTCTTAGCCAATTGCACTGAGGGACATCTTCTAATTTTGAGACAAGACATTCACTGGCTGGACTGGACTGGTCATCTAGCTTGCCTGTTTCTTTGTGCTTCAGAACAAAAGCAGCCATCTGGAATCTGCTCCTAACCATCTGCCTGTCAGAGATCTTGGTGATGCAGGACAACTAACTTGTGGTTTTTGAAACTTAATTAGCCTCACCTTTAGTATGACTATACCTCGCACCCAGTTTTATACCCCCACACAGTTGATTCCATTTTTTTCCCCTCATCAGTGGTCTTTTGCTTTGTTATGGAATAAAATAATGATAAATTGTGAAGCCTTTTACTGATATGCTTGCAGAAGTTTTAGAATAACTGTCAAAGACAAATGCTATTTCTGAAACAAAGTGTCTGGTTTTCACAGCACTGTATATACATTTACCTATATACACAACACAATTGAACCCTTGAATGTTGTGAAGCACTATGGAAAACGGCATTTGCATAATCAAGTTCATGTCAAAAAGATTTTGTGCAATGTAGAGTGATAATCTCAAGACGTGTCTTTGTTTGTGATTCACTCATAAAGGAGACCGTATATGTTGTTATGTAGCTAAACTCAAATGTGTAGAGCGCTGCGGTTTATTAGAAAAAACAAACTAAAATGAACACAAATACAAAAGCCCTGAAATAAATCCTTCCGGTATGAAGGCTACAAAGTTGAAGCTGTTTTGAAGAGGTGCTAAATCAATTTTATGTTCAGTTTGGAAGCTGTAGTTTGAGTGCTGTTGCACTGCAGTGCAATAAGAGGCCTTTCTAAAATTGAGTAGTACCTCACTGATTTAAGGTATGATTAAATTCAAGCCCATTGAATTAGAGAATTATCTCGATGTACTAAGTACTACAAAGGAAAAAATCAATAGCTCTGAAAAACAGAGGAACTGTGTCAAAACAGGAGATACCTGTTGTGTAATGTGTGGAATTACAACGGCAAAGGACAAGTGTGCTTTAGTCGTGGCAGGCCCATAAACCACATATGTTGCAACGCAGCTGAACTTTAATAAGTTATACAAACGTAAATTAAGCAGTCAAATATTAGAAACACCTCACAATATAGTGAAGTATCAGTTGAACAGGATCACAAACTACAGTCTATAAAATGACCATAAGACTAACATCTTCATGGAGGTAGACTTTGTTGTGGAGCTGCTGCATTGAAAGGTATTAGGCGTCGTTTTCAAGTCTAAATCGTGAACTGAAGCAATGTGATTGGCAAATTGAAAGGATTCAATTAATGATATACATTATGCAGTGCATCTAACCCAGGGTTTAAACTGTGATGCAAATGGATCAAGAAATTCCTCATTTGTTGATTATGAATTTTTTCACATATGGATTTGAAACAGACGCAAGTGTAACAGCCACACTTTAGAGCATATCTCACAGTCATGCTCCATCACATTTCAAATGTATTACACAGTGAATATTGAAAGAAACTGAAAACCACATCACCAATAAAATCACAATATCTGTCACAAAAATTGCAATTAGATAGTTTTCCTAAATTTTTCATCCTTCATGTGTATCCAATAGATTGATGACTGAGCTTATCATATTTGTCTGATAAATCTTTCCGTGAGCAACTTCAACCTTTTCATACAACTACAGTTACAGCACCTGGAGTGAAAACAGTTCTGCTGAGCTTACTCCACGACTTTGTAGGACACTTTTGCTGTGTCCAAACACCATGTGACATACGACTGTATACAGTGTGTACTGAAATAACTGACATACTTAACCATTTTGTACTACTGGATGTCAATCAAACTGCAGCTTGAAAATGCAACTGCCAATAAGGAACAAAGACAAGCAACATGTTATATGTTTTTTTTCCCCTTTCCAGCTATAAGCTTCCCCAGCATTACATTTTTGAACTACATTGTGGCACGATGATGGATATCAAAATGAGTCTCACATGATGTTGTTAGCAGAATACTGACTTAGTGATTACTTTTTATTTTAACTCCTTTCGGGTGTAATCACGCAACAAACTCAAAACCTGATTAAAACTTGTTTATATAAGGATCAACATTGCAATGTGTGCGGAACTGTCACATCACAGGAAGTAAAATGTAAAGCAAGGCAAATGAACTAAAACACATCATGCCACAACTTTTTTTGGTGCTTGATACCAAAAGAATTTCTGCACAGTTTGTGATCAGTTTCCATGACTAATCTGCAGGACAAGTTTGTTGGATAAAACACAATTTCTCTGGTGTAAGTTCTTGGATGCATAGATTAAAAAAAAACAAACAAAAAAAACACTTTATGTGTGCATATCAAAATGAAGGATGAGCAGGAGAGAAACACTGAAAACAAAGACTTGGTTTCAAAAAGGAATACAATGTCAGTTATAAGGACGCAAGTGCAAAGCCAGCTCTGAATGCAATCCAAAGCAAAAAAAAAAAACAAAAAAACAAAAATTTTGTCATGCTGCACTATATAAGAAAGGTTCCAAATGTTTTGTTGTTGTGTTATAAAGCTTTTCTTTAATCAGGTTTATCCTCTATGCAGATGCACTCCCCTACAAAAACAGCCCAATTACTGCAGGATGATGCTTTTTTTTAGATGGTTAATGAAATCATTGGTAAAACTTTCCTGTATTTCATTTCATATAGCAATATATATCACAGAAAAAACTAAATATGGCAATATCATGTTTTTCCAGTATCGTGTAGCCCTACTGTATTGTATGAGATCGGGACATAAAAACTACACGCATAAAATCAGTTATTCTGGATTTTACAAATATCCAACAATGTTGAGTTTAGATGAGTACTTGTTCATGTCTTCTTCATTTCTTTTCAGGTGACTCATTGGGGAATTTTGACCAGAGTCCGACTAAGATTGTTCAAACACATCAGGGAGGCCTACTGTTTTTGGAAAAAGTACGGGACCCAAAAAAGGAATAAGTAAAAATGATTTTAAAAGGTATTTTTGTGCTCTAGAAGTCGAAAGAACCTGTAGCCACTTTATAAACTGTTGCTTTGACTGAAATCTAAGCTAATGTCTTTAAAGCGCTCCTGTAGCCACACCACTTCGCAGCTAATTGCACAGAGTTGTATCGAGGTGTCCTGTGTTGACTCTTTAATTAAATTCCCACAGATTTCCTCACGTTATGTAAACACGCCTTGTTAAAGCTGACGCAGCTTAGCCAGCAAACCTTTACAGTCACTTCAGTCACAATGAAAATGAAAAATGACTACAGAGGAACCTTGGTATACAGTAGACTAACGCCATTGTAAAGTCCCAACCAGCGTGTAAGTGTTGCTGCTAATGGAGACAATGAGACATGAGGCACGTCTCACCAAAATACAAATACTAACATTTGTTGTCGCTAGCCAGCTAATGCTAGCCACCGTTAGCCATCATCTGCCGTGTGTTAGCTGCTCCTGCGCGGATGCTGCCGTTAGCAAAGATCCGGCAGCGGGTCGTAACGTAGCGTCTGACTTTTATATGTGGTCCATCAACGTGCATGGGAAGTATTTTTTCATGAATTAAGTGATGTTACCTGGATCCGTTTCTTGTGCCGCCTGCGCTCCGCCATGATCCTCCAACTCAGCTTCTCCGTGCGCGAGGGTGCGCACGCGCATAGCGTGTGAGATCTCGCGAGACTAACCCACCAGTGGTGGAAAAACTGAACATGCGCACTCTTTACGTTGTTGCCTATTGATAAGCCTTTGAATTTATGTTTAGTCTTCGGGGACGGTTCAGGTAGTTCTCACTCTGAATTTAGATATAAATAATACAAATAGTAACAGAATAAATGCCATTTAATGATATCTCGGGGAGAATCGTTTGAATCAGAGGGGTTGTTAGTATCGTAACACAAGAGGCATTGTCCATCTCAGAATCTTCAGACCTTTACTTGATGATTGTACCATTTCATTTTATATTACCAAATAATTTCAGACAAAAAGTGAAGATAAAATGCGAAATGATGGCAAAATAATAGTTACTCCATTTTTTTCCTGTACTTAGCGCATTTTTCACATTCATATCACACTGAGTGCAGGATAATTAATAAATTGTTGATCATGATGTATTTATACCTTAATGTAAAGGCCAAATAGTACTGCGGGTTACTATGTAGAAAAAACGCTTTATTTACAATCCAGTGAATGCAACAACAACAAAAAAAGTAGTAAACATCCAAATTGAAAACACTTAAATATGTCAATATTTAATTGTAAAATAATACCAGCATGATTTCTATGGTCCTTATGTTAGCCTACAGGTAAATGAGACTTAAAAACATGATTCAGAAAGCTACAATCAGACAAAGACTAAGGTGTAAAATGAAAAAAAAGAAAATACAAATTCCGTAGGACCTTCTTAGTGCCTCATAACTCAAAATTGTCATCAGTTTCCTCCCACTGTTGTTGGTTTTATACAAAATAAAAAAACAAAATATGTACATATATGTGTGAAATACAGACATTTAGCAGACACCTGTGCATACTGTGAACCTGTGTAACAGTAAAAAAGCATCTTCAATCCAATAAATCATGTAAACAAATCCACCACTGTAGCAGCAGCAGTTCATCAGGTAGTGCCATGCTGTCGGTGCAGACTGGGTTTGGTTTGCATTTGTCAACCAGCTATCAGGCTGTCTCACTGCTGGCAGATGGAGGTGAATTGTTTTCTGGCTCGTGGAGGTGCTCAGTGGATTTGAGGACATCAGGGTCTCTTGGACTTGCCATCATCTCCTCACTGTTGCAGTTGACGGGGGAGCCAATCTCTGAGGTGCGGTCCCCAGGCTTCTCAGGAGTGGCCTGCAGGGTGGTGGTGGGGAGTGGCAGGTTCATCATGTACAACATGCTGCCCATGCGTCTGGATACCTGTGGAGGGGTGAAGAGAGCAGACAGTGTTGATTTAACTGCTTTTGCTGGTTGTGTGTCAGTCTGAAGGAATTCTGTACTGCTGAGGGGTTGCCACAGTTATCATCGATTATCAGTGTCATTTTTAAAATGCATTTTTCTGAAGTATATATAGATGTAGATTCTAAAGACACATGCAGTCTTAAGAGGCACAATTTTGCAATCTGGCAGTCATCTTGGTGATGGCTCCCAGCAGTTATTTAAGGCTAACTAGACCAGACTTCTGTCTAAATGAATTGACAGAGAGCCATAATGCAATTTCAATGGTCACTGGTACATAAAAACTGCATGCATATAATCAGAAGCCAAGTTTGCCTAAAACTAGAAAAAAAAACCAACAACGAGGCTTTTTCCACTGATTACACTTCTGCTGTGAACACACATGTGAACAGTTTCATGACACCGCGATTTGTCGGTGCAACAGCACGATTGGCTGGATGTTTTCTGGTTCACCAGTTACAAAGAAGATAGTCTTGTATAGCCAGACCATTCTTTAGTGCTGACAGTACAGTGCTGTGCAGAATGGCCTGACTGCACTCATTATTATTCTGCTATAGAGGAAAACGCTCTGCCTTGTTTGTATTTCTTTTGTGTTTGTGTCTCTTCAAAATAGTGAAGGGGGAGTATATTTGTATGCAGGGGGGCAAGAACTTTCATTCAAATTATTAATTCATTATCGAGCAGGGCTGCCTTACTAATCCAAGCTTTCAGCAAAAACGTATTATTTCCAGTGTGGTAGGTGGCACCTCGAGGTTGTTCTCATATCAAAGGGTATTTTAAAAATGGTTACATGCAAATAGTGGAAGGGGAGGAGAAAGCTGCATGAAAATGTGTGGCCAATGGCAGGCTTGGATCTGTAGTTGTATCTTGTGAGTCAGACTACAAAGAAGAGAATAAGCTTTTCAGGAAAGGACCAAGAATGTATCATACCGTCTTTGGCAAATTCTCTCAATAGATTTCTATTAGTATTCTTTGTATGGTGAGTCTCTCTCTGATAATGTTTCTGATGGAGGGCATTGTATGTGTACAGACTGTAAGCAAAATAAATAAAACTAACTTGACTTGGGTTAAAAGACAAACCTCCTTATCTCAGAAAAAAATAAAATAATATAAAAAAAGCACCTATTCATAAAACTTATATTAAACTAGTCCATCAATATGATATTTCATGAATAGAATCAGAGTTGTCATTGTCTGTGTTTTTGTACCTGTGAGCGGATCTTAAGAGCCGGCCCCAGCTTGAGCCCCAGTGTGTCCAGTAGATGCTCCTCTGAGAGAAGAGGCAGAGTCTCTCCATCAATCATGTGGTCCTTGAATGTCTGATAAAATTATCACACATTAGCACAACAAAGACACAACAGAATCAGCATTGAAGAGATAGCTACACAAAACTATGGTAGCCAACCTGAGCATACTCTGAACACGTAGGTATACTGTTGACAAAGTTGTAAACATCATTCACTGTCCACTTCCTTATGTCTTCAGGCACCTCATTCCCATTAAGAAAGAGGTTTGGTGGACCTTGAAAACAAACAAACAAAAAAACACATGTAAGTTCAATCTTTGCCACAATTTTAGGAAAAGTTTTTTGTTTTTTTAAAACTTTTATATCTATTTCCCAAACTCACCTGGTGGGAGGAAACCATTTCCAGGGACAGGGAACATGTAAGGCATCCCCGTGAGAGCGCCACCTGCAGATGGATAAATGAACTTCTCCTGGAAAGCTGAACATTGGCTGGATACGTCTTTGTCATTTGCGCTTGTGTTGGCCACATCTGAACACCCCTCCTGACTGTTCACACAGGCTTTACGCAGGCCCGGCTCCCCCTCTTTGTAGTTCTTCCTGCTTCCTGTGGCAAGTTCAGAATCTATTTTGGCTTGATGATGCGTCTTGCTAGCAGCACACTCCTCTCCCATGTCCCCCTTTGGCTCCATCTCTTTCTCCTCCCCTGATGTGGCCCCTGGGCTCTGTTCTACACCTTTATCTTCAGTTTGGCCCTTCAAGGTGGTTACATGGCTCTCTGTACTCTTGTGAGCGGTTGGCCTCCTTCCAGCCCTGCGTCCCCGCTCTCTGTGCAGCGTGCTGATTGGTGGGTAAGGGCTGGCTGACATGAGTATACTGTTGGAGTGCAGTTCGTCCAGGGAGGGACGGTGGACGAAGACATCATGGCCGTCTGGCATGCGCTGACGACCTCTGAACACCATGGGGTTGGAGGGGTACGACATAGGATTATCCATTCCCATCAGTCCTTTCTGGTGAGCATTTTCCAGCTCTTTCTGATGCAGGATAGCGTTCATCTCCATTCTGAAAAGGAGTGCACATTTTAAATATGGCTGTGCAACAGTGATGGCAGAACCGCAACATAAACTTTGTTGAAATAAAGTCTCAGCTTTGTCCAGCAAGATATGATGCAAATCTGTGTGTGGGTGGAATATTTCAGGAGATGATGATTATATGCTGTACGCATTACCTGGCTATATTTTGCTTGTGAATGAGCTCCTGTCGCCGGGCAACTGTTTCCATGGGCTCTGAGAGCAAGAAGCCATAGCCTGCTGAGAAAGAGGGATAGGCTGTTAAAACTAATCCGCATACCTGAAAACTATTCAGACTGTGTGGGAGTTCTCTCAGGCATAAGGCCCATGCTCACCTGGTCCAGGAAAAGCTCTCCCAGGCAAGACATTGGCATGGGGGGGCAGAGGTGGACCAAGATGAGGTCCCATGTGCACCTGTCTTTCTTCAGAAGCTACCATCTCAGTAGGAGGAACCAACTCCCTGATGAAAGAAAAGCAAGTAACATAAGTGGCAAAACATTTACAGAGAGATAATCAGCTGTTTGTATCTTGTGGAACTGATTGCTGAGGAAGATTCTGCCCTTTAAACTTCTGACTGTACAAAAAGGACAGAAAAATGCACCATATTTTCCACACTGACACTAGTGGCACCTTTTCTTAGAGGTGTCCTTTTCTGCAGAGGTATTGTTTTAGGTTTAACAGTAAATCCAGGTACTGACCTCTCCATGAAGCGAGGTTCGAACTGTGCTGGGACACCTTGTAACCTCTGCTGCCCCTGAGTCAGGATCTGTGGAGCCATGGCCATCTGGTTCCTCATTATCAGCTCCTGCCTCTGCCGCAACTCTGCAAGTGAAAAAAAAAAAGCACCACAGGTCACTGGGAGGCCACTTTAGCCACAATAACTGGAACATGCACTGACTGTGAATAGCTGCAGGCTGCAGGTATCACAGAGCAATCCACTGAAATCAATACATGGCACAATGTAAGGTTGCAGAGTTAGCTTTACCTGTTTGGTGCTTCACATTTAGACCAAATCCAGACATCCCTTCTATTTATAAATTAATTTAAAAAAAACTAAAAGCTAAAAATTCACTTGTAATATTTTATGCTTTTTGAGTTTTCTTGGGCTCCTGACACAGCTGCTAATGTTGTGCCTCTCATTCTCCTTTGCTCTCACCTCCAGCTGACATGCCGTTGACCAGTCGATACCAGTGCTTCTCATCCAAGCTGCCCTGCTCTCCCAGCGCCGTCATCTTTCTCAGCTGCTCTCGTGGGGTCATGACATGCACACGATTTGACCGCCAAGTGTATGCTGTTAATAAACAGTAATACAATAATAATTGAAACTTTATTGATCATATATATCACTTTTGAAAACAAGGGTTTAGTTGTACATACTTTCTTTTTCTTT